GCTGTGCGTTGTTGGTCACACCCCGAGCACTTGCATGCGTCACTTCTCCCTCTGCTCAAACCCTCTCTGTTCTTAAATTGCACATGACCTCTTCTGCCTTCGCAGATCATCCGTTAGATTTTCCCCAGTATTATTTCACAACTACTTTCTACTTCCCTCTGTTTCACCTCAACAAACTCAGCTGCAGTAAGTTGAAGTTCTTTCTCCGGCCGCGTTCACACTGCATGTGTCGAGCTCAAATATGATTTCTTTTTTTAACAGTTGTCCAGGGTCGTTCCCTCCCACTTAAGAACAGAAGTGTGTTTCACTCAATCGGCATCATTGTCAAAAAAAAAGTGATATTACCGTAGAGACTGCTGCTTAAAAAAAATGCTGCTGTTTGAACGTATTCTTCTGTCTTTTCCTCTCACCGACCTCTCACCTGCTCTTAGCAGTTGTGACCTCATCATCACCCAACTTGTTTTGAGCCATGGCACATATATATCATCAGGAAAAACCACCAGACCACAGCACACCACCAAACAAAAACCTAACAAAAAGTACATGTAATGAAACATAATAATGTTCTAGTTTAAATGACCTCATCATTGACTAAAATCTCAGCCTGTTTAGTTGAAAATAACGCTGATATACTGGCAAGAATTGAAGAAAGACACTTACAAAGATCTTCTTCAACAGCTCTGATTATCTTCATTTTAGTTTTCATAGCCATCTGCTGCCACCTAGCAGAAGAGCATTTTATTCTTCTGCTTTTCATGCTTTGACGAGCAAAAAAAAAAAATTATATGCAATAAATAAATAATAGTTTTCGACCCAATTAGGTGAAATTGGATCATTTTCCACGTAACACTAGTAATCCATGTTTTTCAACCACTAGCGAGGATGGATGAACATATGCAGGCCATTCATATAGATTCCTGTTACACACACACACACACACACACACACACACACAAGGACTGACATCACTGTACAGTCAGGGATAAATCAGACTGACGCTGTTTGCCTGTATGTGTGCCATACATGAGTGGGTGGAGGTGTCGGATGTGGGAGATGGTGGTGCTTTTGAAAACCTGTAATTCTCCAAATTACACCATCCATAAAGGGTCTGACTGCCTTTTCTAATGTCGTTGTTTTTCTACCTTTAGTTCCCTCCCCCAGGGTTGTTTCGACACATGAAAGTCTCTCTGCTCTGATATTAAAAAAAAAAAAGATATTTGGAGAAATAAAGTTCCCCTTTTGGTTACTTTAAGGTTATGTTTAGGCATCAAACGTCTGCTATAGTTAAGAACAACATTAGGATAGGTTTGGGGTAAAGAAAACCGAATCTCCATGAAAATCTAAATATTTGTCCTGATTATCTCTCAGTACACATTTGGCTCGGCTGAAAGGCACTGTGTGTGTTTTTGTGTGTGTTTTTGTGTGTGTTTAAAGATCAGAATAAGGCTTTGATTTGTTTGTTTGTATAAAAAGAGTCCTAGGAGAGTCACTGAGCAAACGTGTGTGTTTGTTGAGTGTTTGTGTGTAAGACCACAAGACTAGTCCTTTAACTATCAGTTCCTTATCAAACCCCACCTCCTTAAACACTTCCTGTCACCAAAATAGTACTGAATGTCAAAGCATACTCACTCACGATCAAGATTTTCTCACACTCTGTGTCTGTACTTTGTCTGTACTTTGTATCCATAGATAGATCTTTACACAATGTCACAGAGAGACCTGTGGTTCAGTGGTTCTTGTACAGCACCACACCACCAACCCAACATGTCTGAAAACACGTTGGGGTTTGTACGTGTCGGTGGTTTAAATATATGTTGCGTCGTTTGCCATATGGTCAGAATGACCCCTCACAGGCAGACATTTGAACTTAGTTGTTAGCACACTCTCCCTCACACACACATCTGTGTGCATGTCTGCATGCGTGAGTGTGTGCTGAAAGTTCTCCAGCAGAGGCAAGTTCTCATCCCCTGGAGTCCACTGTGTATCCTCACACACACACACACACACACAGACACACACAGTACCATGATGCAAAATGAATAACTCAAACAATGCATGGCTGTCCATTTGGCTTTGAACATACACACACACACACACATTCATACGGTTCTTATTAGCCTTTATTCAAGACAAGTGTCTTCTACGTTTCTGGGTCTTTTAGGGCTGACAAACCATTACAATCGGATTAACCGCAGGGTCGCTGTGGGTTAATCACAATCAACTACAATAAACCAAGAATAAAATCAAAATTGTCTAAATAAGTTCTTGCTTTCAAAAAGTTTCTTTTTTTTCACAGCTGAAACCCTCACCCAGATCGACTCATGATGAAGACACAGCTCATCCTGAGAGTCGACCTCACACATCAGTCATTAGAATCACCTCTTCAGATTCTCCCATTTGTTATTGAACTTCAAACCCACACGGTGCATTACGTCAGATGACCCCTGACCCCAAACAGAACAGCAGCAGAGACACAGACAACAGACAGAGACTGACTGCTTCACTTCTCACTAAAATAACAGGACCCTGTGTCAGCAAACAGATGGTCAGCACTGACCGTCCAGGTGAAAAACTACATGTAGAATATCTTGGTGGTACTCATGCAAAAAAGTCTGCATGTGGAAGGAGAGTGTCACCGCCTAGTTCTTATTCATGTATTGTACAAGGAGCTGCTGCCAATGTTTTATTCAGACTACTGGCGATGTGCGGTCACACGATGTGGAGCTGCTGCCAATGTTTTATTCAGACGGTCACACGATGGGGGTCACACGATGTCAGGAGTTGATGATTCTTCTTAATGGTATGTGACAGCTTTGCCTCAGCTCACCCAGCAGCACACGGAAACCTAACCTACCTGCTTCACTGTTGGTTTTCTCACAGCTAACTCAGCACTTAAGGCGTCTCGTGGGGTTTGGACAAGCGCCGACGTGGCGAGGACCACTGCAGGGATCAGCACACAAGTTTGAAGGTCAGGTGTACACAGAGGCATCATTATTACTCAAAAGGTACAAGTTCATATTGACTGTGGAAGTGGCAAAAGTGCTGGTCCAAAAGTTTAAAAAATAAATAAATAAATAAATCAACAGTTTTCCTAAAATGTGGAATTAAAGTTTTCTGATTTCTCCATTGCTTATGATTTTAATTCAAATTTTTAATACAACACTTAAAAGTTGAATTGAAACTTTTTTTGTCATTGTTGGTTTAACTGAAAAAAGAAGTGAAAGCTAATGGTAAAGATGGGAAACAGACTTTAAAGGAGGATGAAAGATATTCAGCCACATGTTCATTTAAAGAAAAAAAATGTCCTCTGGTTCATATTAACAGCTATTTTTAAGCATCATTTAGTGCCACATAAACTTACACACCAATGGCTATCAGCTCTCACATATTTGAGATGCCTGATGCAGGAAAAACTATTTCCGGTGCCACATTGTCATCCCACAGTTTGTGAGCATTGATGCGCATCAAAGGGTTATAAATATTTTTTATGACCCGCACTGAAACCGTGACCTTTGCAGAAAACCTCTGATCAGTTCAAAACATGTGGACGTGCACATGTGCATTTCTGAGAGGCCGTGTGTGTTTGTGTTTGTGTCCACAGCGTTGCACGTGTGTGTTTGTGACGTGATAAACAGCCAGCATCATTCTATCCCACCAGCCATCATTAACTCTGATGTACAGCCAAATGTCATTATGTATGGTCCGCTGCATGATTTACTGTCAGAGATATTATTGAACGGCTTGCGTAACAAAACTTGCAGAGTGTTTGATGTGCAGGACTCTGCCAGAGGGAGAGAAGTAAATACAAGGAGTGTGATGTCAGTGAACGAGGTATAAGAAATATCGATGGACTGAACAATAACGATATTTCCTTTCATGATGCCGAACTGATATTCTACAACACTGTATCCATTTTTTATTAACAATTAACATGCAAATATCCATGCGTTTACTGTGCTGAATTTAATTGATTTAAAAAAATACGCAGATACGCAGAAATGTTACCTTCTCATCTTAAGATGCATGTGCACTTTCTAAAGGATGAAGGACAATGTAGAAGATTGTGACGAGCTGGGAATTTGTTTTTAAATAGGATGAAGAGAAATGAAAGGATGACTGAAAAGGAAGGAAGGAAATTACAGACTGCCACTGTAGCAAACTTTGATGTTTTGACAGCCAGTTGTGGCCTGAGGGAAACAGTGTGAGAGCTGCCGGTGATAACAATGAGCGATGATGACACAGATGATGGAGAAGTTCATTTAGCTTTAATATATTTTATCACCGAAGAGCTGTCAAACCACAGTATGTCCTTGTAGTTAAAGAAGTGTCTCACGTGTGTGAACGTTCACTGATCTCCACTGAACAGAGAGAGAACTAAGACAAGATGAAGGGCCGTGTAAACAAACCAATAGAGGTGAACAAAAAAGTGAACACAACTGTAGGTGGATTACACTGACTGAGTTGTGAAGGAAGAACAAGTCATTGAAGAGAATGGCAAGGCTGTACAATGAAGGATGAAATGTAAAAGATTTGTGGTTTTGGTGGGGGGAAAAACAAATTGGTTCAAATCAACACATGTCAAAGCCTTTTCTGTCTTTCAAAGAAGGTTTGTTGTTTGTTTGTTTTTTGCACAGTCAGGTTCATGCCACCAACTCCTTTAGAGTTAGAGTTACAATCAAAAAGAACCGCAACATTTACCAAATGACAAAAGCCACATTCAAATCTAATTACCGTTATTTAAACACACAAACAGCAAGGTAAATGTTTTTGCCCATGGAAGAGAACATTAGACATCTGCCATGTGTTCTAAAGGTGCTATTTCAATTCATCATTTAATGACTAGGCAACATAGATTAAATTATACAATGGTGTACAAGTGATTAGTTCACTCATTTTAAAAAAGCACAGTGTGAAATAGCAAATAATGTTTCATTTCACGTCAATATCGGTTACGTTTTAACTCAGCTCGATTCCATTTTTAAATATTTAGACAGCCTTACCTTTGTTTATGAGTCCAAGTCCACGCCATTTCCTCTCCACATTTACTTCCTTTCATGGCGTTTTCCTCGTTTTCCTTCAGTTTTAAGTGTCTCCACCTCGATTAACCTTCTTCATCATAATAATCCGTGTGCAGCACTCCGACTTTTCCCCGTAACTTGAAGAAATGTGCGTTTATAAATAACTAAATAAACAAACAAACAAATAAACCCATGGCCTGCGCAGTGCACTTTAATTTCAAAATTCCCTCACTTGTTGTCACCGACTCTCTAGATTACTCACGTCCGCCACCTTTCAGTGTGGCATGGTACTGTTTGTCTGCAGACATTTTCAGTGTGGCATGGTACTGTTTGTCTGTAGACAGTACACGGAGAGAGAAACGGACACGCAAACTGAGAGCACAATCCGTATCTGTCCTTTAATTAAACTGGAAATGGACGAACTCGTGTTATATTTTATTTTTTTATTGTCGAAATATTTAAAAACATGGACAAAAATAACCTTATTACACAGACTTCCTCGTGTGTTTTTATCTCTAGTGTATTTTAACTAATAACCTAATAACAGTGAGGATGAGCCTCAGGCTTCACTCCAAAATTTAGTGACTCTAAAAGGGAATTAAAAACTATTTTAGTTTAGTTTAGTTTCATTCGTCTTGTTCCTGTTTACTCCAGGACTAACACTTGAATTTCTACCTAAATCACTACGCTGGTTGTTCCATCTAATCTTTCCCACGCAGATGAACCTTGAGGAAAATCACCTCTGCTGCTCAGCAGCTCTTATTTACACCTCTGTTATCGATATAATGGCATCGACAGGAAAACCCTTCTAAACATATCCATTTCTACACATACTTTCACTAGTGAAGCCCAGACGACATTGCAAAGGAGTCTCACCGCCTCTCGTACTGTGAACACAGTGAAACACCAAAGCCTGACTCTGCCCCCTAGTGGCTAACTCAATAAACTACTTCCAGAAGACTAACCTCTAAAGTAGGCGTGGGAAAACGTTTTGCCTCGCGGGGGCAAAATGGGTCCTATCATTTGCCACGATCAAGAGAGCATTCGGATAAACTAAGATAAATGACATGTAAAATTCATGCATAAAGGCTAAAGCTCTGAAGTGTAATGGTTGATAACAGAGGACAGTTCCAATGCGTTTTGTTCAAGTTGTTTTTGCCAGATAGAGCCTTTATACAGTGAATCGACCAAACAAAATAAGTCAAACAACAATCACTGATGTTAAACACTTTCAGGTATTTAGGTGACTTACAGAACATCAAGAACTCTGTATCCTTCTTTTGAGGCAGCCACCACCTTCATAATTTTAAACTACAAAATTACCAACTAATTTTCATTGCAGATTTACAGATATAATCAACATACAACATATCAATTTTTGCACAGCCCAAAACGTAGTAGTTTAAAGTTTAGCTTAAACAACCTCTGAGTAGTTTAATAGGTAAACCATGTCCTTCAACGTTGTACAAACACTGCATGTCTCACAGCCACAGTAAGCTCAAAATAAAAACACAACTTAATTCAATTTGGATATATTTAACCAAGCTCATTTTCTTTTACCTAAGAGTTTACCATAATATTACAGAAAATATTATCAAATCCTAGTAAAACTCTGTTTTCTCAACAATCCGTGTCTAATCTGTGTCTGAACATTTCTTGACTATTATACTATTTTGCCAGCCTTTCAACCTTTTCAGTTTAACTACTATTTGTTTTTGAGGTATGTATTAAATTTCAGGTCTGTCTTCTCTACAGCCACAGAAGGGAAAAGTCCCACAGCAGGGCTGCAGCCACGGCTTCCACAGAATCTTCTCCCAGGTCATTTCAGCGTCGGGTGCCGTTTCCTGAGCATCAGCAGACACCGCTTCATCTGGAAGAGAACTTTTGTGTTTTTCAACAGCTTTGGTGATCTGCTCTAGTACTTCAGTGTATCGTGGCTCAGAGTCAGGAGTTAGTGGGCGGGACTCTGAGGGGTCATGGAAAAGGTCATACAGCAGCGGTGGGTTGTGGTGCGTGACACGTTCTCCGTGGCACATGCAGATCTTGGTGTGATAGCATCCTACGGCTCCCGGGGGAGAAAAGTTGGGAGTGAAAAAGTGTGCCTTGTAGACAGAGTTACCTGAATTTGAGAAGAGAAAGTGTCGAAAAGTGCGAAATAATTTTTGTTAACATTTGTCTAATAGGAAACATAGACACATTAGATAACTGATGTATTTCTGTGTTCTACCATAATAAACATTTGCATTGTGTATAAAAATCTAAGGTTGATCAGATTTGGAAGTTCACTTTCTATTGAATTTACATTTTAATATTTTACAAAAAGAAACATCAATCTTTTAGACGTTTTGGAATAACTGCGTGTCAAGTACGTGCACTTACTTCCAGGTGGGTGCCAGCGAGCCGCGTTTAAATAGGCACCACAGTAATGGAACATGAATTCGTGTTTTGATGTTTTTACTTTCCCGTCCAACAGTGGCATGAGGTTGTGGCCGTCTAAATGTCTGGCAGAAAAATACATTGAAAAGGTAGAGAAGGCAGGAAAAAATATAAAATTATATTTAATCTTAGGGCTGTCAAAATTAAAGCAACAATACATTCAAAATTTTACACTCGGACCTTCTGTACAATATTGTGTTTGCTGACATAATCTATTTATCAAGTAGGTTTTCAGCAACAGTGGAAATGAGACTAATTTGAAAATATATTTAAAAAAACCACAGGCTTCAATACAATAACCTATACCTGATCAGGCTGTAGGTACCTGTCTGGCTGCGTGTCCTCAGCTAAATGCTTCAGTGTTGGGTAGAGGTCCATTAGACTGGTGGGTTCATCTACTTCAGTTCCAGCTGCGAGTCTGCCAGGCCACCGGAAAATACCAGGTACTCTTATCCCTCCCTCCCAGCCCCCCATTGCTTTGCCACCTAATGATAACACAACATATGAGAGAAATGACTGAATAAATGTAAATAAATTGAATACTTTGCTTTGAAACACTTGGAGACATCACCTACCTCTGTAGATGCCATTCCAGCCTCCCTTTTGACCAGTTCTTGAGTCTCTATCCTCCAAGTGTCCACCATGGTCTGATGTAAAATACATCAGTGTGTTGTTAGCTAGGCCGAGGGAGTCCACTGTCTTGGTCAACTGACCTAGAAAATATACAATTTTAAAGTGGGGTTTTCAGTTTATTACTTCCTATAAATGTTTATACACACACATACACACACACACCCACACACACATATATATATATATATATAGAGAGAGAGAGAGAGAGAGAGAGAGAACCTTCTTCACTAACTTACCGATCAGCCAGTCCATTTCCTCAATGTTATCACCATAACGACCGTGGCGGCTTTTCCCTGCAAAGGTCGGGGTTTGGAAGAGTGGGGTGTGGGTGTGGGCCAATGAGAAGAAAAGGAGAAATGGTTGATCTCTATTTCTGTGGAGGAAGATGTAGAGTGAGAAGATATCACAGTGTTTGATGACTTTTTCTTTGTAGACTCGTTGGAAAGTCATGGCACATACCTCCTTATGAAGTCCTGTGCTTCTCCCAGCAACCTCTGGGGCAGCGTCTCCACCGTTATTGGTTGTTCAATAACATCTTGGTTCCTCATAATGATACAGTTCCAGGTCCGCAGGTGTTTGAAGGGTACGTACCATACAGCATTGACTACGATAGTAAAAGAAAAAAGTGCAACCAGGAGCCACAGGCTGACGTCAAGGAGGCCACAAACACGGACACAAATCTGGGAGTACAGACGAAAAAAAGTAACATTATTTTTTATCGAAATAACTCAATATCATATGACGTCATCGAACTTTTACTGCGGTGCAACAATGTGGCCACAAGATGTCGCCACATCTCAACTGCAACGCTATCCATTAGCTTCGTGATATGTAACAAGTTAGTACATTGGGTCCTTTGTGCAAAACAAACATTTAACACGTGACCCCTTCCTCTCGTTCAACACCTGGGGTTCATTTTTTAAATAATTGGTTTAATCTTCTTTTATAATTTAAATGTTTGCTTCCGTGTTACTAGGCACAGCTCTTTCATGTTGGTTCAAGTTCAATCCTTAGTACCAACTGAAGAGGTGGGGGGGGGGGGGTTGTGTGGAGTTTTGACAACAACTTTCTGCCCAGTCACTGTGAGTAAATGTCAGCATTTACCAGTGTGAGCAGTCCAACTCCAAGCATCAGAGCCATATTCTGAAGCATGTTTTGTTCCGCATTCATGACATCACTCCCCTCTCCTGGCGTACAGTCATTGAACAGGGTGAATGGAAGGCCGTAGTAGTAGTTGAAGCCATGCTGGTTTGGGTGATGACAGTGGTCCCCCCTGTGCTCACAGTTCACACCCAGGTGCCATTTACCTGTGGTAGCACAAGCAGGTGTTACACAGAATGCCAAAAGCTTGCTAGAATATCTAGAAAACTATTTAAAAAACATGTGACAACACTACAAAATCAAACATATATGTATCTTGCCATTCCCATTATGATACTACTTTCCAAAGTGAATATATAATATTACTTCTAAAAAACACACAGGACCATTTTCCTTTTAAGCCCTAGTTTATGAAAATCTGTAGGTGTGTCCCGTAAATTCAAGAGCCAACAATTTTCTGATGATATCTGGGTGTTACTAGGGAAAAATCAAATGAAATGTATTTGATCTTTTTGTATTTGCCATATGTTGCCCTTGCGCTCCGAATGCTTGTAAAGTGTGAAAACAATTTTCTCTGACTACATCGATAATTGGTTCAATGTGGACATTGATTTTCGCATGTCTAAAGCAATGGCACTGGCAAAGCAAGCACATAGAGACTCACGCTACACATTCTGCAGGCTTTTTTTTAGTTTGACTGAGGATCAGGCCATCGTAGTACACATGACTTTATCTCACCCACTAGGCCTGTTGTATATCCTTGTTGCTGCAGCCTTTTAGCAAAGGTGGTCTCCTTTGGTGAAAGCCCCCCTGAGCCTCCGAGGAACAGTAGCACCTGCACGCGCCCTCTGCTACCAAATCCTGCACAACAGGCACACAGGTGTAAGAGTGCAGTGGGAATTAATGACCGGAGTGTGTTTTTAATTTTTTTAAACTACCTGAACGGAGAGCATAACGTCCTGTCATGAAAGCAGCCCGGCTTGGAGTGCAAAGAGGAGCAGCTGCAATGTGCTGAGTCAGCTTCACTCCTTCAGAAGCCAGTCTGTCTATGTTTGGAGTCCTATTTGGATAGAGGATGTAAGAAATAAAGGTAGAAAATAACGAGCCAAAATGATTGAGGTTCTTTTTGGAAATTAATTGAACTGAAGTCTTTGGTCTCAAGAGGTCTAGATCAGAGGGTCTCCAACCCCTGGTCCGAGCACAAGTGCCAGTTTGTGCGACACAGTGAAAATAATGTACTTCAATTTTTCTAATTTACTTCATTCACATCTGTCAATGTTTCAAAACAACAGGTCACTCAGACTCTAACAGAATAAAGTCTAAAATATGTTTTATTTTTAAAAAATGTAATGATCAACGAGAAGTGGCGCTTTGGCCCAGAGGCAATGTCTCTGTCATTGGTGTGGAACCCCAGGGTTCACCTCCTGGACAAGTTCGAATCCCGGTTAGGGAGGTTAATACCTTCCAGTGGACTCACCACCCGCAGGAAGGTTTGGGGGGTTGATACGGTGCAATGTGATTTGGGTGGCGACTGCTGCCCCCGCGACCCGGTAACGGATAAGCGGATGAAAATGGATGGATGGATGGATGGATGATCAACGAGAGCGCGGTATTGTACTGAAAAAAAAACATGCGTGTGCAGTAAACCAACAGTACGCCAATGAGACAACAATGCCAGTTTGAAGACATTCTGTTTTTTGTTTCCTTTTGAACTGAAACAGCCTTCTGTTAATGAGAAGAAAACAAAACAGGCTGTAAAGACTTTCCTGCTTAGTGTTTAACGCCACTCACCTAAGTATATAACACTGTCTTCCAGGTTACTGCCTTTTTGAAACCCAACGCAATGTATCTGAGACAGTACTGAGTATCGAAGAGTACGCAAATTCAAATACAAAATAATTATAATTATAATAATTATTTGCAAAAAATGGTTTCAGGACAACGTTTTTTAATATAAATAAAATAATTAAATAAAACTAAAAGATAATGCCAGATTACACAAATTTGAGTTCATCAGTTCTAAGCTCAAAAATGATGATTAATAAGAAGACAAACGCCATAATGGTGTCAAACAGAAGAACAAAGAGATGAACGAGTGCAACCAAGAGGGTGACGCATTTGTTTCAACTTACCTGATGGTAGTGTTCCCGTAGCACCCTATATCACCAATACCAAGGTCGTCCGCCATTATCAAGACAAAGTTGGGTCTTTTGTTCGTCTCCTTCCCTGTGACATCATTTACTGCAGCCAGCAGGAGGCAGAGAAGAAGTGACACAAAAGGGAACCTTGTGGTGGAAGAATGAAAAACAGAATTCTGAAGTCAATTGTCTGACTTTTACAAAACAGAAATGGAAATGATTTTGATGCTAACTAACCATAATACCAGGGGTGTCAATTTTTTTGCAATATTTCATTACACAATACTGTATCAAAATTCTACAGTACTGTATTGAGTTTTTTTTAATTAAAAATCAATGTGCATATATTCTCATTGGTTCATTTGATTTTGCTTCTATTCCTTCTCCAGAAACTAAAAATGTAGATTCCTCTGTTCTAAATCACATCAATTAATAACATACTTAAAAGTCCATTAACATTGATCATAACATCATGAAATCATAGAATTTATTAAATGAAGCGTATACGCATAAACTCAGCAGCAGATGAGTTTATTTTAGACCTGAGTTTCTACATATGACACCATTCAGCCTGCACTGTAACACTGGATGTAGCTGACTCTTCCATTCAGCAACTGACAGTGGGCCATGATTATCCAGTCTTTAGGCTATATTTGGATATCTTTATTAAAACATAAAATATTAAAATGTTCTTAGTAAAAGAGTTAGTTTATTTCCCCCCTTATGAACACTGAGAGATTCTAACCGGGTTCTTACAATCTTTGTGTGTTTGCGATGCATTAGGTAACCAAGCAATAAAAAAAATTTAATAACCCAAGGCACTACAGTACCTGTACTGTGTTATACGTGAGAGTCAGCCAGAACCCAGTTTCATCAGTTTGCTGTGAAGACTGCCCTGAAGATATTCAGAAAACTGGAATGAGCTACAGAAAAGCTGTGTCTGAGTCGCAAAGTAAAAAACTCTTTAATTAACCTGTATATGTACAAAAGAAGTGGACATTCCCAAAAGAAAATTCCTTTTTACACCACTCTGACAGTACTTACAGTATACGTATGTTGCCCACTCAATAACTAGCTCAATACCTGACAGTATTATGTGCGATATTACATATTAAATCGATGTTTTGTTTGAGTGAATGTGAGTAAAACTCTTGGAATTTCGACTTTGTTCTTTTTTTTTTCTTCATTCAAACTCAAATTCACAGTAGTAGTACAATAGTTTTATAGACTATAGTTTTATGTAACTCCATGTAGTCCCTAAAGATGACTTCCTTTTATTAAAGTGAATAAAACCTGCCTATGTTTTCCCAGAGGTTAACTGAATGTAAGTAAAAAAAAAGTGTAAAAAAAAAAAGGAAGAAAAAAGTTCCCCTTTTAAAACAAACCAGGGTCGTGTACCTTTAATAATAAAGCATACGTGTTTTGCTGCGTTGTCACGTGATTTCATCTGCACCGTTTGAAAAAGCTTTTATGTTATTTTATTTTATTTTTTACATTTTCTCTCACACCATCACCATCGTTACTTGTTTCTTTGGACCAACCACGTCTAGTAACCAAGTGTTCACTCACTGTCCTTCCTCAGCTGCATCTCAGTCATGTTAACGTTTTCAGTTTTAAAGGCGACGCAGCAACAGAGGTTTATCAACTGATTTAATTTTAAGTGCACATGGTCAATAAAGTGTATTACATATTATCCATATAATGAGTAAAATAAGTTTAAAAAAAATGATAACTGTTTTTAACTTACCTCATTTCGCTGGTTCTGACACTGGTTTCCGTGCCTGAGTCATCGCACGTCCTCTGCTAGCCCCGCCCACTTTTAAAGGGCTAACATTCTAACGGCTGCTGAACTTGTTCTTTATTTGCATCTATGAAAATACAAGTATCTTAAAACCTTGAAAACGTTTATATATATAAACAGGTATTCCCCTGAAGTGAGTGAATTGACATGACTCCTATAAGGGTTTAAAAATATAATACAGCTAACAAATGTGAAAATGAAAATGCTGTGCATTGTAACAGTGGACATTTGAATTATAAAATAAAAGGTGATGTTTTTGAAGAATTGACAGCTGTACTATGAGCCACTGCCAAAATATATTGATATATTTGATTGCATAACAAAACAGTTTAGATAAAATGACAGTATTCTAGACGTTCAAATGTAGGGACATTGTATTGTGGTAGTATTCATGTATTCACATGGTAATATTCATCAGCCTAAATTATCATAATGTAAATTAACACCCACAGAAGGTACTCAGTGTTGTTATCCTTATTGCATATATTCTCTTTTAAATTGACAGATAATCCTGTAATTATGTCCCTCAGAACCTAATGTAGTCTGTCATATAAGACTAATTCCTAATGTTACACACATTTATGATGTATTTATGGTGTTGTGCTATATTTTAAAAAAGTGACTGTTTGATTTTATACTGGGTTAAGGTTCAGTATCATAAAAGACAATAGGTTACGTATTGCTTGTTGCTGTTTAAACCAACCTCATTATTACTTGAAATTGCTTATGCTGTCTTCTTTGTCAGCATTTAGCTCACTTTGCTAACTATATATCATATTTTATATGTATGTAAAATGTACTTAGTATAGATTATATGCTCTGTTGTTAGGAAAACAGCAACATGTATTCACGTGAATCAGTAGCATCACACAGCTATATTCCTTAAATAAGGTTTATGTCTTTGTGTGTGTGTTCAAACCAGTTTAATTCAGTGAGTCAGTGTGGCCCACGGGCATTGACTCACTGAGTTTCATGATTCAGTCATATATTTCGCTGATAAGATAATCTAGATTTATATGAGATCAAAACCAGTCACTACCAATTTTCCTGTCATATTCAGGGCTGGTTTCAATTCAACAGTTGACTTTTTCAGTGCCTGACAGTTATAAAATGCACTTCTATTTTTTTTAACGTGACCAAAAGACCGTGAGCAAAATTCCGATTTTGACTTGTCAGAGCCTGAGGTGGCCCTGTCACTATAATTTAAACACCTTCAAAGTCTGTATATAAGTTACCCTAATGTAAATACCTTACATATCAAGAATTGCAGGTTATGCCTCATGATGCCTTTGTTTGCTTTATTGCTCTCCAACGCCCTGCAGGCGGGGAAGGGAAGTCATAAAGTCTCGTTTTTTCTCGATTTGTCATTTGTGAGTGAATCCACACAAAATATTGTAAATAGTATACTGAAAGAAAACCAATGCAATCAATGTGTTTTTTTCAGGGGAATAACACACCAACTCCCACATTTAATTGACTCCTCAAACATTATTTACACAATTGCAGAAGACCAACACAAATGCCAGGGGACAAAATGAAGAAGACAGTTCCTATAAAAACTAAAACACAGGATCTTTAAATAAAGTCACGCAATAATCTGTGAAAAATTTAGTGTCTTAATATGTTGAATGAATCAAGATGTATACAGGATAGGAAAGTGCTTCTCCCGTAGAGATTGTTTATAAAATAACCTGCAAAACATCTCTGCTTGTTTCATCGTTTCTCTGGGATGATGACATTGTTCTTTGCTTTCCTCTCTGGGACATTCACCAGGTGGAATAAGGCAGGAATGGTCAGTGCCATGATTGATGCCCTAACTGATTGGGAAGTGCACTTTAGGACCCAGTAACTTGAAGATTCCCTTTATTTACATTCACGTTGGTAATAGTTTGTGGATTACGGGGGTGTGTGGGGGGGCGGGGGGGCGGTTCTGATTCCTCATCAAACCAAAACACTGGGCAGGAGAGAAGGTCATCCCTTCCTCCTGCACTTCCACATAGTACGGTTTGTGATTCTACAGGCAATCTGTGTGCTAATGCTGATTGCTGCTGCACTTAGTGGCTGGGAATCCTCTGTTCCGAAGGCATCAGTGGCTATATCTGAAAGCTTGTACTTTTGTCTAGTGGGTACCTTGTGCATTTTTATGCCAATGTAGCAGATATCAGAGGAGCTCTCAGGACACACAGCTTCAGTGTGCCCAGAGACACTCGGTTTGTCACAGATTTCAGGATGAGAAGTCAGCTCCGACTAAACGTCGAGCTAGCATCCGGTCCACAGTTCATACAGTAGAATTAATCATTACGCGACATCACAGACTTAACATTTCTCAGCTCGAGGCAAGGCTGTTAGCAACAGTCTCTGTCCTGTATTGCAGCTATATGGTGCTTTACAAGGTAATACACTAATACATGAACCGCAGCACTACGCCACTTCTACTGCCCTACGTTTAAAGGGATCAAGTACAAAAATGCAAGGCAACAAAAAGACATTCAGAAGTTAATATTATTTGCTACAGCTAAGAAAATTGTTAGGCTTTTTTTTGTTTGTTTGTTTGTTTTAAACAGCACTGTTTTGGGATTTCACAATAATTATCACAAAATACCACAGCAAGCAGGTTGACTAGAGATGTTCTGTGTCGGCACAGAGGCACCACTGCCACAGGATAGTGAATTCATATAAAAACCACAGGCGAGCGATGTTTGCGATGTGGCAGTATGGATGATAGCAAAAACACCACGACAGTAACTGACTTGCCCAGATAAACAGACACAAAGTCAGCAGAATCCCACAGCGGAACACAACACGACTGTTTATGATGCCACAAAATGGTTGTAAAAACTTTCAATTTTCAAAAGATTTTCAACCACTATTCCGGGGTTCAAGATCAGATTTTGAACTCTCTTCTCTGTGTCTGTAACTTGACCAAGTCAGTCTGTGTCAGTGAAAGGCACTATAGAAAACAAACTACTGCATCACAACTAGATTTCCACAAAGTACATTAGAGCAATGTCTAACACACAAGTGCATGACCTCCGGCTCATGTCATGAAAACGTCCATCAACTAGGACAGAATTTTACTTCACCTCTCCTCTCAAATGTACATATTTTTTTTACAGGGAAAATACTGGTAGAAGAATCGTATTAATACGTATTAAATTGTTTCTTTTTTTTTCACCATTGACTTTTAAGTGTTCCTTTGCAAATTTCTCCATTTCATTTATTCCATTTGCTGAGTAGTAAGTGTTCTAATTAGACCCAACAAGATTTAAAACTAAGCCCCTTCACCAATCAAAAGACAAACACACCCACACACACATATACAGTGACATCATTGGCCCTCTGAACACAGATTGGACCGTTTAAGACTATTCCCAAAAGTTTGGGTTTTGGCTGGCATTTTCAAGAACAGTTTTTGACTGGGGCGTTTGAATAGAACAAAGCCGTGGTTCAGGTACTCATAAAGGCCTCTGCCTCTTCTACCAGGGACAAGTCAAAAAGTCTACTGTGAAAAGGAGCCATTTCATGTTAATACGCAACAAAATCAAGACAGGCAGTGGTAGTTATTGAAGCCCCTGTTATTCGTCTATCCTACATGTATACTACAGATACTTGTATTTAAAAGTGAAGACTATGATTCACTCAATGGGTTGGACTTTACAAAACATGTGGATGGATCACACGATCCACGGCTGCTGGATTTTGAAAATGATACGGATGGCTCAAATAGTGAGAAAAATGAAGAATTTGGCTGACAGGAAATCGAGTTAAACAACTACCACATCAATATCTCTGTTTATATTCACAAGGACTTACTAAAGCTAGATTGCAGTCATACAAATAACAATAAAAAAAGGTAGTTCTGTGTAGTATCTGAGCTACTGTAGCTAATGGTCATAGTTAACTGGAGATCTCTTCGCTTTAGTGTCCCCTTTGATAAAGACATTCGATTTGGTTTTTAAAGTAGAAAATTTGACCAAGTATTTTATACATTTTCTAAATTATAGCAATCAATAAACCCCCAATGTTTAAATGGAGGCTATTTATTTGATTTTTGTTATCTATATTTTTCCCACACACATGCGCACATACCTTCAAACATCCACACACACACACACACACAGCCACATACACACACAAACTGCCCTACCCCAGGGCCTCACAGTAATCTCTCACTTTACAAAGGAGAGAGTCTAACAGTGAGATTTCCACACCGCTGACTGTAGTTGGTCCAGACAGTCGGTCATGTGATCAGTGCCGGTCTAAGAAGAGGTCAGCAGGTTGCTAAGGACTGTAAAATAAATACAAATACACCATAAGGATCATACAGTTCAAGTGTGTGTTGAGAGTGTGGTTTTGTGTGTTCCTGGGTCATACCTTGGGGATCTGACTGAGCCTCTGCTACGTCAGCCTTGCGCCCAGCTTCTGGGTCGGGTTCTGGTGACAAATGTTCGAAAGTCAGATTAACACAGAGAAATAACACACAGTGACCAAACACTCACCATTTACACCAGCGGTCACCAACTGGAATTCTGGGAGGTGCCAGAACTTTTCTGGACAGACACCTTAAGGGTCAGAGACTTAAATAAAATCCTGAGTCTTAAATGGTGGGAATCACTGAGCGTTATTTAATTCTAGGTTTTGTTTTGTTTTTCAGTTCCTTTAACAGTGGAGACCACATGATATTTTCAAGGTGAAAACGCTCACCTCAGGTGCATTAAATTACAGACAAGACAGATGGACATTGTACTTCCTGTTGTTGACGTTTCCTTGACTAATAAAAGCCAGATTTAACCCAGTCCTCAATCTTTAATTTTTCCCAAATGTCTAAAAAAAAAAGACAAGCAGCCCTCTTGGTAATGCGGGCTGTAAATAAAGTCCGTGCTGAATAGGCAGTGTGTAGAGGAGGGCTGATGTGAGAGGAGTTCAACCAAAACAGTTTGTAAAGCTGAGTCTGCTGTGTTTAAAATGCTCTGCTGACAATAAACACTTGTTCTAATTAGACTTAAAACACAAACAGCCTCCCTCCCTGGAATACAGTGAGGTGACAGTTTTATATGCAGCGATTCACAACTAAGACTCAACAGATTGTTTTTTTCCCCTAAAGACTCTGACGAAATGAGTAAACTAGCATCGTAACCATACTGTGCACAGTCTACATTAGGCATGCGCAAAATTTAGCCTCTTGTTAGCCGTTTGAGCTTTCACTTTCTGCTATTTTCTCAGCAAAATCTTTATTATTCTTAAGCTATTATTTTTGCTACTTTTTGCAATAATATTTAGATATTGTTGCAATTTCTTCGGCAAACTATTCAGTCAAAATTTACCTTTTTCTTTTTACGTCCTTTTTAAGTCCTACTGTACATATAACTGGCATAAATTATATTTAGCTTTATTTATATTTATTAGCTATATTTATGGATATCAAGCTTTTCTTGTCTTTTTTAATCACTCAGCCAAAGATTCAGTTTATTAGTTTATATCTTTTTGGTTAGCAACGCCGTAACCCTCGAGGCCCGTACATCACACTTCTGTAACATGTTGAACTTTAACTGTTGTTTCAGTTTAACTGTTAAATAATCAGGGTCATAATTACCCTGTCTGGTATTGAAGCACAGTTTCTTCTTCTGATATGTGAAATATCCTGCCACGGCTCCAATAGCAGCGACGGCAATTCCACACACGACACCTGCTACAGAGCTGGAGCTGGCTTCTGCAGGAGAAAGAACAAGGACATAATTAATGCCGGTGCGTGACAGCTGCAAATGCATAGACAAATGTCCCACGACTGCACAATTAAACTCTGAGCATATTTCTCTGCATCTGTGTTATGATACAGATGTGTCTTGAATGACTTCCAGTGCAACACCTGCACATGGGTGTTCACTGTCACCGCAGGGTGCCATTTTGCAGAGAGAATAATGAAAGACATCTCCACGCTGAGGCTCAGGGGTGTGTGTGTGTGTGTGTTTGTGTGTCAGAAGCATCAGCTGGTTCTGGATCATTTACTGATCTCTTTTCACTAGTTTGTCCTACAATTTAGACTGCCAATCAGTGAGATCATAAACCTGCCTGCACCTGTCACCCAGTTACTATGACAGCAACCATGTGAATAGTTTTCACGCTGTGTCACTGCATACTGCGAATGCTGCTCATAGTCTAGTGAAAGGACAGAAAACCAGACCTAACAAAAAGAAAAATAGAAAAGATGATCATCACATTGTTGATGAAACTTGGAGTACAAAAAGAAAAATAGAAAAGATGATCAGCACATTGTTGAAGAAAGTGATTCTACAGCAGACTCTCTTCTCCTTCAATTAAATAAGTGTTGGATTTTATATGGGTAAAAATGAAGAAAATATATTCAAATGATGCTCTTTTAGCCAAAGTGGTCAAAGATTGATGGCTACAATAAACTGTATCCAGTACGTAGGTCACAGCCTTGATGATGTGACTATAAATAATTCTGACTAATTCTCTCTAATTCTTATTTGTTCTGACCAACACTTTTTATTGTTCACTCTTTGATATCACTTCACAGAAAAGTAATGGGAGAAAATAGTGAATTAAAAATGACAGGGATTAAGATGAAGGGAGTGTAAAAGGTGAGCCGGCAGGTGAAAAAGACAAAGACAGAGATGAAGGAAAAACAGGTATGAATGAGGAATGAGTCACCGATGTGATTCAAGTTGAACCAATATAAGGCGCCTGTTAAATTGGGGTGAACAAAATACAGGAATGCAGTGAGTCAGAGAGGGGACCTGAAGGTGGACGTAGGCGGAGACGAGTACGAACAAAGACCAGATCTGTGGGCAGCTGTCACGCTCTACCTAATAACTCAGGAGTCAGGAGTCAACGGACTGTTTGAAATCTTTTGCATGTTTTTCAATGGCAATATTTATCAAATCCTTGTGTTAGTATGAAAAGACAGATGTTATTACTCTGAAAGCTCAGAGATATTGTTAACTTCAACATGTGACGACACGTCTCCCCGGCAGCTACAGCAGCTTTGCAAGTTCTCTCCTTACTGTTTGTTGTCATTTAGGGGATTGAGCTGTCTGAGCTAACATCACATTTTCAAACAATCCTGAATGGAAATCTATCGCTATCTGAATTTCGCTCTTGCTTAGTATTTCAACCCTAAAGGAGAATATGTAGAAAAAATGTCTAATTTACGTAGACTTTTTGACTTTTTGGTCCCATATTGTTCAACCTCCCCTTGTATTAACACAAATGAATCATCACAGCGGTGCGTTACCTTGGAAATGGATCGGCTCAATATCATCAAATTATAAACATGATCCCAGGTATTTACATGGTCACTTTAGTGAACTTCAGCAGTGTTGGCCACTTAATTCTAGATATATATGTACTAAATTAAGACACTTAAAATAGGAACCAATTGCCTACGCTTTCTAAACTTGTCTTTCATGGCAACGACACTGAGTGAAAAAAGAAAAAAGAAGAAACAAAATGTCAAGCATCAACAAAACACCCTGCAGCCTGAGGCTCTCTGCATAACACGAGACAATAGGGGAGTGCTTATAGTGCAGGTATGTGAAGAGAGGGCTTAGTGCAAGTATGGGTATCTGGATGTGTCCTAAACAAAAAAACAAAAAAAAAAAACAAGATGGATGACTCACCTTTGGTCTCGGTGTTATCTGTTGTTTTTGAAAGAGAACACAGAAGCGCAATTAGCAGAGTGACACAGAATCCACAGTTTGACAGAAGTCCAAAAGTCACAGGATAAATGCACTGCATTTCGTTGCTCTGTCTCCGAGGTGTATAATGACTATGGTGTTGAATTGAATCTAAAGTAAACGGCTATGGTATACACAACATCGCTGTTTTAACATTTATTTTACAGATTTTCACACCTGAACCTTAAGCCTGATATGTATTCTACATTAGAACAAAATTGGTTTTGTCCAATAGATTTCCTACTTCAGAAGAAATAAAGTATGTCCTAACTCATAATTACAGAAGAGATGGATAAAAGAAAATAGCTAGCATGTTAGTATGTTGTATAAATATATGTGTCACCATTTATATAATATATATATTTCCGACTCAAATTGTAAGTCGCTTTGGATAAAAGCGTCTGCTAAATGTATTGTAATATATTTATATGTATATAGAGTATATTTATATTGTACATATATCATATATTTCGTAACATTGTGTTAGTAAAAAACATGTATTCCACAGTAGTAGAAGACTAGTTCGGTTTTTACTTATTCAATATACAAGGTAATAGTCTTTTTATTTCTTTTTATGTTGTTTTACATACACAGCTTTATTAAGAATTTTTTTTTAGTAAAAGTTATGCGTGACCTTATGCATCTTAGCACTTTACATGTTTTATTTTAGTAATGAGTCAGTAATGTCTTGAAATAATGGTGTGCAGTTGTGTAATTATGCTGGTGTGAAAACGTTGACAAAGATTAGGAAAAGGCCTTACCATCCACTGAGGAGCCAGATACAGGCGCTGAAGGGAGAAAGAGAGTGAGAAAAAAATGAGATTACATAACCCTCATTACCCCTCATTAATGTACTATATCTCAGAGTGAGAAGCCAGGCGCAGGAATGATCTTTTTACAGTGTTTTTTTTTCCTGGGAGCGAAAAAGTGTTTGAGGTTTAGAATTTCTGCCCTAACCAGTCTGGAATCACACAGGTGATGAACTCGGTGTCAACAGTTTGTCTGTAGAAGTGCCGGCATTTCTTCATATTAAACTATCAGATTAAATATCTGATGAACAGATACACCCACTGGGATCATCACCAACTTTTTCTCTGATCTTGGTTCGATACAGGCAAACAATCCTGTAATCTTCTGCTGCCCTACCTGCCTGTATACGCCTGTGACATCATGGCCGCCCTCGACCTGCTCCAACTTGACAAAGCCACTAATAACACAGCACTAGGGAAATGCACCTGTAAGGGGTAAAGAGCTAAAACGAGTTTATTTAGTCAAACGCTGTGACCTATGGCAACAGATCTTGGTAGAATTTCCTAGTTTATTTAATGCCCTGTTTCAAATGTGCGATGGTAAACTGTAACCAGTTCTCCAGGTGCATACAAATGCCCTGCCTGAGGGTAAGTAATTAGACTCAGTGCCAGTTTCAACAGGGACAGCTATGAATAGATATGACATTTCATACATTTCTGTATAAAGGTGGATTAAAGGGGATTAAATGTTCCTTCAACTATGAGTTAAAGAATTTATGTTAAAGGGAAATGGCCTTTTGGCCTTGGCTTTTATTGTTTTATTAGTTCAAAGGCTTTGGAAACAGTTTCCAGATGGGATAAATTTCACTTTTGACCTGTTAAGTAGCTTTTTGGCTAAATCTACTGAACGTCTACAATTGACCTGTTAAGTAGCTTTTTGGCTAAAATCTACTGAACGTCTACAACTGTGGCTCTATCTGCTGACAAGATTGATGACAAACTTGTATTACAGGGTAGATCACATTGTTTCCCCAATTTATAAGCACACCTGTTGTTATTTGTGATATACCTAAACACTTTTTATCTGCTAGCATCTTCAGGGCTAACAAAAAATTGTGCAAATTCTTGCTAGCTACACTAACAGACGACTAAGACCTAAACTAATTTGACAATATTCCTTAAAAAATACTGAAAGAAAAAATCTTTTCAGTTGTCATAAATGTTTATTTATGTAACTTTACCACAATATTACCAAAAGGCAACATTTGATGGCTGCAGTTACTTCACTACAACTTCACCTGCGACCATTTTGCGTTGCCAGAAACAAAGTTTTTAAGACCCTCCCTGTCCTTTGAGACTCAGTATAACTTATGTCTTTCGTGGTGCGTTAGATTATACGCGGCAGGCTCCTCTGCAAGAGCAATGGCCTTATTAGTAAAACAAATGTGACGGTAATTCCTGTCCCACCCAATAAAAATTTCTTCCAGATGTGCTCCGAACACATGCGCTATACTGCACCAATCTATGACGATCAACCAGGTTATTGAGAGTCATCTATCTGTAAAGGATCTGAAATTCAACCTGCTTTCACCAGGGTGTCATGACAAGCCTGTGAACTAATGTTGGTTTAAATTAAAAGATATTATCTGTCGGGAACAATACATTAGTCTGACACTACAGTCACATGGGGGGAAATCCCACAGTGTGTCACTGAAAGCCATATCAAGCTGGGCAGGGCAAGGTAGCATCAGTGACCTCATTATAACCTCAAAGGCAGAATAATTCAGAGACTGATACAGATGATGAAGTGGTGTAGGCGCCGCATTTACCTCAGAGCTGTCTACAGAAAAAAGTTGTTTTGTTTTTATGCTAAACATTTACTTGTTGTTGAGTTGTTTGTTGCCTTTAATTCTACCCAGTTCGTCTCTATAAGGTTTCTTTTATTTGGCTATTATCTCTGAGAAACATGAGAAGTATAGTGAGAGGGGGAGTCGGCGAGTACAGATAACAGAGGTTTGACAATTGAGGGGAAACATTTGGACTGTGAGGTCATCTGGGAGGTTTCCTCACTCAAACCGTACCTTGTAGAATTTATTGGGGAAATTTGTAGCCGTGGAATCCAAGTTCATAATGGTAAGTGATTTAAATTTTCATAAAGAGGAGCACATCTGTTTGCCATTCGTTTTGCTAATAAAAACAGGGTGTTGCAGAACAATAGTGCGCTCTGTCTCATCAAAGCAGGACATGAGCAGAGTTGCTCGGAATAAAACCAACGATTTACCCAGCGCACATGAAAAGCGCACGTTTTACAGTGACATTCTTCCGATGTTTTTACTTGCAGGTGCTTATTCAGGGTAACAGCCAGGAGACGGAGCGGAAGTCTAGCAGCTTTACATCTAACCACGTAAAATAATGCCGAGTGATTTTTCAAGTGATGTTCTCGTCCACAGCTCACTGCCGTGTGTGTTTTGAAATGCCACTGTGCAGAAATAAACATCCTTAGCTACAGCTCTGCTGTTGCCGTAGATACGAAAAACAAACAGGTTGTGGTCTTTGCAGTGTTTTTGTGCTTGACGTGGTCGAGGTTGGTTTCATGTGATTGGGGAAGTAAGAAGAGAAAACAACACACCTGCATTCACCTGAAGAGCAGCATTGTCCTCGTCACCTGTTGGCACAGACAAATAACACGCACTGTGTTTGAATGCACAAAGGAAATCTCACAGGCTTATCTGATACAGTTTATATCTTTGTATAATAAAAAAAAAACAGTTAAACATCTAAACAGGAATTCTCAGACAATGAAAGAGGAACAGTTCCTGCTCTTTAAAAGGAAGTCAAAAAATATTCAATGCAACAATTATTGTTTATCAGTTATTATGACATGGAATTGTCAGTCTGATTATGACTCATGTCTCTTCATTCATCCTCTTTTCCTTGATCCATTTCCCAGCAGTCAGTGGGTGAGGACAGGTACACCCTGGACGGTTCGCCGGTCCATCATGTCACCACTTGTCAGGACCTTTCATAATCACATTCACACCTTTGGTAAGATTAAATCCCAATCTGCTTTGTTGTCAGATGAGAGAAAAAAGTAAAAAATGACCTAGAGTTAAACCAGCAAACCCTCACCCTTTTCTGTACCCCCGGCCCCTTTTGTTGATAGGACTAGTGTCGAGTCACATCTAAAAAAGATATTTTGACGGAAAAAATTGAATAATGTTAAAAATCACTACATTTTTTTCCTGCGGTAACTTTGTCACCACAAAGGGGACCCGCCCCTCACTTTGGGAAGCACTGCTGTCCGGTAAATATGCGTACCAACTTTTCCACTATGTCTAGGCTACACGGCTTTGAAACCGACAACAGAACAATCTAATCTGAATAAGAAATTAGGGAAAGCAGAAAACAATAAATCCGGTAATCTGGACACTAGAGGTCATCAGTGTGTAATCTAGTCTTAAATTTAAAGATTCATCTGCTCAGCTATTAGCTTCTTTAACGTGTTCTTGTTTTGTGCCTTATGTCCTTGGATTATGAAATAAAAACCGTTTAATCTTATTTGTGAGCTTTTATATCCAACAACGGATGATTTCCGAATTTTATCCTTTTTTTTGGGAACAAAACAACACTCAACTTGTTTGAAATAAAACTGTCTGATCGACTGACTGTTTGTAATTGTTGGTTGCAGCCCTACTTATCGGGAACGTCAACATATGACACAACCTCTGGTGAATGAACCGTACTTGTAAATACTTTAAAAACAAGTCCGTGCACTTTCTCAATGCATCTCACATCTGTACATGTTGAGGAGATGAGCTCATCCACAGAGGTGGTTTTTTAACAACACACCAATGAAGTGGAGGGAAGGATCCCAACTCCTTCCACAGACTCTGGATGTGGTCCACAGCACACTTTATAGATCAGCCATCATTTCATCACAGCTGGGTCAGCAGAGCTCTGCTGTGTTTAAGCCATTGATTTACTGATGCCTCAGCTTTACGCAGCAGAGTCGTAAGCTGCCCTTGAAAATGCGATGGGAAACTCTGTTCTCACACCAACGCAGCAACAGTTCTGTCAGTTTTTAAATCAAGCTGAGAAAGAAATTCTACAACATGAGCGTTTAATTGCAGTTTTGACCTTGTCATACGGAGGTTTTGCCAGGTTTTTGAAATCCTTTAATGATAACAAAAAAGACACCGAAATCCCTAAATTACTGACAGCTACCCATTGAGGAACATCCTGCAGGTTTACAATAAATACCTCAATCCCTTCACACTTTGCACAAATGGCTGTTTCATTTAACCACCCGTCACTTTCGTTTCTTTTTGTTGTTGTTGTTGAGCTTATAGAAGGTTTATTAGTGGTAAAATGTTTTCTTTTAAGTTTAATTTTTAACTAATTAAAATGGGCAGTCTTAGCTGCATCCTGGACACATCGGATCGCCATCAAGTCACATATGTTAAACTCGAGGCCCGTGGGCCGAATGCAACCCACCTAGTCATTTTGTGTGGCCCACTGGAGATTAAAATAATTACAGCTACAACTAAGCATTTTATTCTGATGAGAAATCTATGAGCAGCTACCCGCTGTGTTCAAGGACAAGCAACATCACCTCATCAACTTCATCCAGAACCTCACCGTTCTGAACTGAGAAATCATTGTTTGTTGAGCCTGATTTTTGTAATTTACTTACAAAAATGTGAGTTTCTTACCTGATGAATTACGTTTTTTTTTTTAAATTGCACAGATCAATGTACAATATTTGTAACTTGAAGAGTGTTAAACAAGTGTTTAGGCCTGTACTGGTTGTAATACCTTATCTACAATATGGTCAGGAACATTGTTAACTACACTGAATTGGTAAGTCTGGTATTCCTTAACAGGAACGTGTGATTTCCTTACCCATGGGGCTCTGGGCATTCACTCCGGACCTGCTTTTCGGCACTACGATTTCCTCGTTAACAACGTTTGAATTAGTATCACTGTCAGGATCATCTAGATCTTCTTCTTTGTCTCCTGTTGCCTCAGTCTCTGCTGCAACACTCTGTAACAAAATGGGTAAAAACAATATAAACTTCAGGACAAAAATAACAGCCACAATGAAAAGTCTTGGTTTGCCCCACAGATTAGTCGATGCTCTGTACAAACCCACAATCCCGAATTCTAGTAAGGTTTAATTATTCAGACTGCAGTTTTTCTGCAGTTCAGTTTACTGTACCAGTGTCAGACGTGGTTAAAAAGTGGGAAATAATTAAGCGCATTCAGCAGCAGTTTCCACCATAACCTAATCACTACCTTGTGTGTCAGCCTCGTTCACAAAGACATAACCTTCAGTGGATGAGACTTTTGCACATAATCAGACATGTATATTAGAAAACCTGCTGATGAAAGAACCTTCCAGAATATCTTTTCACGTTCAAAAGGTTTATAGAAAATAACACATAATTTTCTAATTTTATACAGAATGTATGAATAAAAACTGATGGGAATATTGTGTATAAATGTACTGACGTCCACCACAGCAGGTACTTCAGCCTCTGGACCAGGTGCTGCATCTGGACAAGAGAAACAGAAGCATTAATAATCATTATTTATCAATCAAGCCCAGGAACCACTTTTTTAGCACAGGAAATGCATATAAAATGCAAATATACGATTTACTGTATATTTTTATATTTATAATTATGTTGATGCAAATTTTGAAACTTCTGTTTCTGCAGGAGCTGCTAATATTGATTTACCATCTTCTGTATCATCTTCTTCAGGTGCAGCTGTGTCTGCAGTGTCTTCTACAGGTGCTGCTGTGTCTACAGTGTCTTCTACAGGTGCTGCTGTGTCTACAGTGTCTTCTACAGGTGCTGCTGTGTCTGCAGTGGCTTCTTTTGATGCTGCTGTGTCTGCAGTGTCTTCTTCAGTTGCTGCTGTGTCTGCGGGATCTTCTTCAGGTGCAGCTGGGTCTGCAGTGTCTTCTACAGGTGCTGCTGTGTCTACAGTGTCTTCTACAGGTGCTGCTGTGTCTACAGTGTCTTCTACAGGTGCTGCTGTGTCTACAGTGTCTTCTACAGGGGCTGCTGGGGCTGCAGTGTCTTCTTCAGTTGCTGCTGTGTCTGCAGTGTCTTCTACAGGTGCTGCTGTGTCTACAGTGTCTTCTACAGGTGCTGATGGGTCTGCAGTGTCTTCTGCAGGTGCTGCTGGGTCTGCGGGATCTTCTTCAGGTGCAGCTGTGTCTGCAGTGTCTTCTGCAGGTGCTGCTGGGTCTGCGGGATCTTCTTCAGGTGCAGCTGTGTCTGCAGTGTCTTCTACAGGTGCTGCTGTGTCTACAGTGTCTTCTACAGGTGCTGCTGTGTCTACAGTGTCTTCTACAGGTGCTGCTGTGTCTACAGTGTCTTCTACAGGTGCTGCTGTGTCTACAGTGTCTTCTACAGGTGCTGCTGTGTCTACAGTGTCTTCTACAGGTGCAGCTGGGGCTGCAGTGTCTTCTTTAGATGCTGCTGTGTCTGCAGTGTCTTCTACAGGTGCTGCTGGGTCTGCGGGATCTTCTTCAGGTGCTGCTACATCCTGTTATAGGCACAAGATATTAAGTGTTAAGTATAAAAATTTATAACCCAGCTGTAAGATGTTGAAATCTGCCATTTTACAATGTCTAACAAAGAACTAACAATTATGATTTTTTTTTTAAATTGAATTATGTTCAGACTTGTCCAGGACAGAGACAGCAAAAACTGAACATGTTTTTGTATTAATGATTTCAGTAATCTAAACATTAGCCCTTAAAAGGGGTAATGGCTTTTGGGGAGAGAATATATATGATCCAATACAACCACTTTTTTCCCGTCAATGTATTTTGAAAAATGGATGTTGTTCTGTGATGGTCTTTATCACATCACCAGTTACCTCGACAGCCTCAGGAACTGCCTCAGCATCTGGCGCTGGTGCATCAGGGTCTGTGGTCTCAGCAGCAGCTTCTTCTTCTGTTGGTGCCAGATCAGACACACACGAGGTGCAAAAAAAAAAAAAAAAAGAGGGAAAAGTTATAAGCCTCCTAGTAATGTATACTAAAAAAAGAGAATAAAAATCAACACATAACAGAGTAAAGTGCAACAAAATCCAGGGAAAAAGACAGGAGAAAAGTAACGACAAGTACGTCAGAGCACAAGCCCTCAGCAGTGGAAAGTTACTGTTCTGCCTTCTGTCATTTGCATTTTTCAGTTAAAATCTGAAGCATCTCTTTTGCATCCCAGTCTGTCGCAACCCCGTGACCTGTTTGCCCTTGAAAATAGCTGTAAATTGTGTCAACGATGCATTTTCACTGCCCTTGAAAATAGCTGTAAATTGTGTAAAATGTCCACCACACATTTGTTAACATTCACCAAACAATGTTTATCCTTAGCCTTAAATCTCAACAACCAAAAATCAAACCAACAACAACATGAAAGAAACGTGTTGATTATAACTGCACAGCAACTTTCTGTTTCTGTCTAAATCCTTTGTCTCAAACACCCTCCAGATGTAGTGCATTTCCACACAGCGACCACACCCTGTCCAGTGCCTGATGCTCAGAGTTAGATAACTGATTAGGTCTGACTGGTCTCAGCGTCATGTGAAGTCCTGACCCCAGCACAGGAATTGCAACTGTGTACTAATGAGAAAACGTTAAAGCATGTCTTTGTCAACCTGTATGAGCGTGTGTGTGTATGTTTGAGGCAGCGCCGTGACATTCCCCTGCTGAATGTCAGAAGCTGAAACTGCAAACTTTGCACCGACTTGAATCACTCCATGCTCTGTGGATTTCAGAAAGACCCTTATGCTGGTTCAATGAGCTCGAGTGTGTGTGTATTTTGCCGAATGCAAATACCAACCATACATACAGTACATGCAGTACCTTCGTGTACAGCACATGGTATGTGTTAGGGTGACCTTTAGAAATAATGTGAAGAAAAAAAGGGAAAAAAGAGAGAAAGAAAAAAAGAAGCAGCAAAAACAGAAGATGATGAGACTGATCAAGGCTGCTCAGCCCCAAAGCGTTTTTTTTGGTTGTAAAAAAGCATCATATTTTTTGGCAACACTACTGTGCACTCATTGGAGCTTAGAGAGAATGCACGAACATTTCCAAGAGTGATTCTGTCATATTGGTTGGGAAAGAGCTGCACAGGAGACATGTGGGTTAAGTCCACTGAGACACTGTTGTTTACCAAAGAGGAGAGAAAATGTTTTTTAAGAACATCTAAACATCCTCCACTCTGCAGTAAAACGATTACCAGACACTCCCTCACGGATGTGTTCCTCGGCGACAACAACAGGGGCCATTTTTTTCTTCTGTCACCTGCTGTTTTTCCAGAGAATTTTGCTGTATCACATTAGTATGCAGAGCCCAGTAGGGAGGGTTGGTGGGGGCACAGTATGTTCAGCCTGTTTCCACTGTCTTCTTTACCAAGGAAATCACAGTCAGATCAGAGATATACTCTGGCACACAAGTCAAAGTAATGAGGCGTAAATCAGTTAAGATGGCAGATGAACGTTGCCGCCAGTAGACTTGAGAGAATAAGATAAAACACTAATAGACAAAAAACAACCAGAAAACATTCAAAGGTTCATTGAACTCTCTCCTCGACATGTTTGTTTATTTGTCTGATTTATGTTACAAATAATTGTCTTTTATACTTCAGAGCAATGAGCGACGATTTACTCAGATATTCTATGACTAATTTACCACAAACCTTATTTCTAGATATACAATTAACTTCATAAACTGTCCTAAAAATGGCGGTGGGGACTGTATTAAACTTTCATAGGGTAGCTGTGGATGAATCACAAAACATATCTTTTTCTTTATACTGCCGGAACAGAAAGACAATTAACAGCAGGTAGATGTTTGTGTTTTAAACTTGTTTTTATTTGTAACTAATCCAAACGATGGAATCATTATAATACGATTATATATATATATATATGTATATATATATAGGGAAAATGTCAAAAAAGATATGCAAATGTAAAAGTCAAAGGTTTCAGTCATTACTGCGCATCTTAGTGGTGGTTAATAGAACACTTTGAACGCACCCTTGCCTTAACAATATTATTGTCTACAGTCCCTTGACAACCATTTGATAATTCTGTCAGTCCATTTGTCAGCAGTAGACTTACTCACTGCCCTGCACTGAGGAGGCTGGTCCGACACCAGCCGGACGTTGGACGCCTCCACCAGTACATGCTGAGTGCCGAGATGGTATTTTAATCTTGATAGGCTTCAGTGAAACAATAACAATTTCCGGCTATGTTTTACAATAACAACATGTGAATTCCTGTTCATTATAGCAACAGCATAATATAGTAATCAATAGTGTATGGAGTGTGTGTCATTCTGAATTCTCCACAAATAATCAATGCTCAGTTTAACAAGTGTTAACGTTAGTGACACTCTCTGGGTAATTTGTGTTCCATACGTTGGAGCGAGAGGTCACGTTTCTCCATGACATTGTTCTCACATGTACACATGTGGGTACAGCGTGTGGCTCTCATGTAGCCTGTGTGTCTTTGTGTTGCCACCCTATGGAACATTTTGTTCCCATCTATCAGTTTGTCACTTCCTCCTCTAACAACCTCGGCTGCAAACACACGGATACCCCTCCACCCCTCCCTCCACCCCTCCCTCTCACCCACCTATCCTCCCACACACACATGCACATGCATACATCCAGTAATCACAGCATTACAACTAAAACAAAAAAAAAATCTTTCCCTCATTTGAAACACACCAGCAACCACATGTTGACACACACATGAGAAAACGCGGATGTTCACACACAACTTCAGCCTTTGCTCGCACACGCTGAGTAAGTGCTGTTTTCAGTTAGCGCAGCTCTAAAACAAATAGTTGCACATCCAAAGCGCTCCTCCCTCCTTTTCTTTTTGCCCCAAACTCTCCTTCTTTTTCTCTCACTTGTTCTCTCTCTGTTGTCTCTTTCATGTCTTCTCAAACTCTTTGCTCAATCTGTTTCTCTGCCACCACTGTCCCTGGAGGCAAGTGAGTCACCAGTGAGTCTTTAACATCGCTGCACGCTATTACACAGGACTGCAGAGCATGTGTAGCATTAAGGGAAAGAAAAGGCTTAAGTCTGTTTAGTTTCTACATGTGGGAAACTAATGGTTGTTAGTCACAGTGCGTTCTCCTCAAAGTGGGATGAGGTATTGTGATTAACTGATAACCAGACATCTCCCCGTCGTTAATCTGTATTGGCTCTCAGCCAAAGAACAGCTTGTGACTGTGACTCATGATTGAATTTTTCCGTTGATAATGATTCAGATGCTCTTAATTTTTTTAATTTTATGCAAATAAATTAGACTGCTAAGTATGCCGATCCAAAAATATAACCAAAATGTAGCAATATAATGTGTCTATGAAAGGACTTAGGAAAGAACGCTTCTTTTTGACTTTTATCATACTGTGAACCTGAACTGAAGGGTTTCTTTCCACAAACCACCACAGCCTCAGGTCTGTGTAAACAGTACACAAGCAAAACTGTCATCATTGGCTTTCATTGGCAGTACCAGAACCAGAAAAACAACAACCGATCAAAAGCTGATGAAAAACATAATTCCAGCACCGTACAAGTTTGACCTTAGACAAACAGCGCTAAGCTACTGTGTAAAGATAAACTGTTACATTGTGCTTTTTAGTTTTGTTTGCTAAAAAATATCACGACGATCAAGTGCAATGCAACCTGGGGCTGTTTTCTGAAGAGATATCAATGCACATATTTATCTTGGTTGTTTGGAAAAAGTGAAAAAATAAGTGTTTTACAGCCAGTCACAAAACTTTATGCTTCTTCTGCAACTTTACGTTTATATGGTCTCAAGGGGGCTGAGAACCTATAGTCCCTTAGACAAGGGGGCTATTTCCCAGGTTAACTGCCATGCTACAAACATAGTAATACTAAAAGTGAATTTAGAGTGGACCTTAAACCTCGTCCTGTGGGGTTTTGTACCGTGAGACCCAGGTAGAAACTTGTTAACCAGTGAACTCCTTGACCACTGAACCAGGCTGCGGTGTATGTTTAAAAACAATGTCATAAGATTGAAAAGGAAGGCATTATGGATTTAATGGAGTTATTCAAGGTATTTCCAGGTACTGTAGTACTGCCAAGGGAAACATGTCACAAGCAGTACTACTTCATTTACTGTAGGCAGGTACTGTAGTACTGCCAAGGGAAACAAGCACACTACAAGCAGTACTACTTCATTTAGGTGATGATCATTTCTGTACTGCTTTTTTCACCACAAATCAATTAAACAGGCAATGCAGCGACTGCTCGGTGTTGCGTAGCACTTTTAATTATATTTTGAGGATGTCTTAGGGTGAAATCAAACAGGCTGTCATCAAACAGACTGCCTCCATGTTGTTGTTGTTTTGTTGTGTGCTAGTACCATTCAAAAACAACGAGGTCAGGTGATAATAAAGTTCTATTAGCCGTACCTGGTGATCTCAAACGTGTTTGGAGAAGTATTTGATTTTCAGAAAAGCCAGTGATGAAACCCTTTCATTATATACTATTACTATGACCTGTTGACATCAAAGTGAATACATACAGGATGTTTTAAAGTGACATCACTGTACTCACAATGGAACCAACCCCTTTGGACATGTATCATTTTGAACATATATTTTTTAATTATTATATTTAACTTGAGGATGATGCGTGTGCAGCAGACAGACATGTTTGTTGTGTCCTGGAATCGACAAAGGAAAGACGGCTATTGCCTTAATTTTTAAGTGGAAAATACTTCTGTGATTCATATTTATTCCAAAACACAGGCCAAAAAAAGGTGATAAACACACGCAGTAAATCTTTTACATTATGTGATCAAATTTAATGAGGTTTTGAGATTTATGGACAAGATTGTATAAGGTTAATGCTGAAGAGTTTGTTTTCTCAGCAAGTTCTGCCACGTTAGTGCGCTGCTGTGACTACAGCCCAAACAGAACCAGGAATCTGCCAAACACTTCTGTGAAATATATAGATATATCGCGTTTCATACACTTAATCAAAGTCATGGCTGGAAAAATAAAAAAAAAGGCTGGAAATGAGCCCAACACTGTTGTCACGTCAGGATCATGTGATGGATCAGTTCATCCTCATAACCTGATATCAGGCTAATCATTGGGAAAAACATTAGTTTTATTGTTATTTTAATTATTTATTTATTTTTAATTAAAAAGTCAAATTCACTTTCGTTAGTTATGCAACACACAATATGACACATGTTACATAAACCAGAATGTGGTCCCTGCCAGTGGTTTCTGTGTGTGTGTGTGTGTGTGTGTCGAATGACTAACAGTACCTGTACGTACATGCGTGCGTAACCAATGTTTGTGCTTTTCCATGTAATAGTACACCTGAAACTGACTGTGCCTGAGTGTTGGGGAGAAAACAGTTCCTCCACACACATTGTTCTCTCAGGTATGGCTCTATTGTGTGTTTGTGGGGCAGAAAGTGCTGTGTTTATCCCACACACACACACCTTGAAACAGCGCCAAAGGGAGAGGAAGATGTGTATGTGTGTGTGTCATGTATGTTAATGTTTGGGAACATATTTTCTTCTCCAATTATTCCCACCAAGGAAACAATCTGATCTAAGTAAAAAAAAACGCTCATTTTGAAATATTAATAATTGTGTTGTGAAGAAAGTTAAAATTGGATTCAGGTCAGGGTTAGGCATCAATTAGTTAGGGTTAAACCTTTACTTTATCTTAACAAGTGGCTGAGCTTAGACACACAGTCTTGACAAAGATACATAAAACAGTATGTGTGTGCGAGGTCTTGTTATAACCTGCCTTGTGGGGACATTTTTCCTCGTGGAGACTCTTTGTCCTTGTGGGGACAAGGCAGGGATTAGGATTAGGCAAACATTTGTGGAGGTTAAGATTAGGGTAAGGGGTCGGGGAATGCATTATGTCTACGTGAAGTCCTCACAACTCCTGAAAACCAGACTGTGTGTGTGCATGGCCTAAAAGAGCAGTGTATCAGTTGGTAGTTAAAGGTGTAAACACAGACAAGTCTGCACACATCTGTGCACACACACACACCTGGCACCGACCTCCCTGCTGCTTATTTCACCCCCCCCCCGAGACACACACATGTTCCATACATGACTTATATATGGACACATTAATGACACACCCTTAAACTCCCACACATTCTCTACAGTACAGCCCACACCCACCCAGTCCTCGGCCCCTCACACTCCCACGCACCTACACATTCGTCAAACTGGATATAAAGATAGCTAGGTCGTAACATGTGAGCTAAAGATCACGTATGGAGCGTGCAAGTTAAAGGAGTTAAGGATAGGGAGTGTCCCAGTAACTAGATCCAGCACGGGCTGCGGACAACACCCAGCGACTCAACTAGTTTCAGGCCCATACTCTCCCCTGGGGCCGTTCCTGACAGAAACACTGACCTCGTCAGAACCAGGGAGTTCTCATGGTGCTTGTGCTGAAGAGCCTGAAGTGGCCAGACTTTGGCCGAAGCCAGGACTAAGACGTCCATTGTGTCCAGGTAAAGGTCTGAGAGCCGGAGACTGAGTCACGTGGTGTAGAAACTGTTCAAACCTCTGACTGTGAACATGCAGCTGACACACACACCCTGACTTCCTGTTCTTCACTTTTACTGGTTTTACAGTGAAGTGTACAGTTTGACAATTAGGGGTGGGAGGGGTGGGAGGGGGTGAGTGTGGGAAAAGGACATAAAAAGATGGGAACTGGATTTCTGTGTGTGTGTGTGTCTGTGCGCATGTGTGTGTGATTCCCCTACTATTGTCAGGTGATAAACAGTGAACCGGTAGAGTGAGATCCTGTCAGATTACATCCTGCCTCACCAACGTTCAACTGATTTTTTTTGTTTGCACATTCTGTTTGATAAGCAGGTCTGCTGTTCCTCTGCCTCCACTCTGTTCTCTCTTATTGCCCTCCACCAACCATTTTACCCCACCGCCTCCTTTACTTCCAATTTTTCCGCATATCTGCGTCCGAGTCGTTTTTTCGTTCTTGTTCTTTTTAATTAAAAGTTTAAAAAATGGAAAGTGTTTGCATTTGCCTACAGGGGCAAAGGCGGGGGCAACCAGGGCAGTGGTGGATGAGGAAGAAGAAGAAGAGGAGAAGAGGGGAGGGGTGTATAAAAATGAGGTTCGAGTCTGATATAGAGATGCAACGTGACGATGGAAGATTTGAGAAGCAGTGGTGATCACGTTGACAAATAGGGAACAAAAAGGGAGACAAAAGAGAGAGAGTGGAGGAGAATTATTATTTATGTGAGGACAATAGGTTCACCCCACCCCTGTGGGCCACATCTCCTGTCCAATATCATATGGCCAAATTACATGACACACCTATTTCATCAGCAACGTCTGGGATTTAGTAAAAACAAAAGAGGATGTTGGACTGTTGTTGAGGACTGTTTTCAATTGGTTTTTTAATTATTATAATTTTGTTTTTATTTTTTCACCATGATCAACAGATGAAACAGACTGAAACTAAAGGTGAATATTTGTGAGGGATCCAGACAGAACATATTATACACATTTTTTTTCCCCGCTTTCTTTCCCTCTCAGTAATGACAATAAAATGGCAGAGGATGTGGAGTGAAAATGGAAACTGGCAGAGAAAAAAAAACTGGTGACAACCAAAAGGGTTTGGAAATTGGAAGTGGAATGAAGACTAGGATGAAGATGACACAGACAGACTCACCAGACAGACAGACAGACAGACAGAGAAACAGACAGACAGAAAGACAGACGGGCAGACACATTTGCCAATAGGTAATTAATCACTCGGGAAATGATTGCAGAGAAATCATTACCTTGTGCTTTGGCGCCGGTGACCAGCAGGCTCCCTAATAGCAGAATCCACAGGTATGACATCATGGGAACACGGTGTCCTGGCTTTAAACGTACGGGGAACGGCGTCTCCTTCCACGGCCTTCAAACTGAACCACTGACCGGCTGCTGCGTTTCAGGTGGGTCTTGAGGGGGGCGTGTGTGCTCTCGTCTCTGTCTGTCTGTGCCGGTGCGTCGCTGTGAGTACAGACTCGTGGTGTCTCCAAGGTGCTCGGATGCTCAGTGCGCGTCACCGCGAACCCGTCGCCTTCTCCTTTGTTTGAATTGGAGGAGAGAAAGTCCAGGCTTTATTAGGGTGGGCGTGTCTTCTCCCAAATACAGTCATGCAGGGAAACATGAGGTGCGGTGAAGACATCCATTTCCTCACTAATCATGGGTGGTTTTGTAAAAAGCTCCACCGACTGCTGAGACACTTTGGATTCGTTTTTTCACCATAGTATGAGAAAAGACGTCTACGGTCGTATTGGCCCTGAAGACTTCCCTGTGACTCCTTCTATTCACATTGTCGCTTTTCTTTCACATTGTTACGTCCACAAACTCGTGCATTTAGCAGCAGATACGCGTGTGTCAGAGTGAAAACAGATGACTGTAACTTTAACACACTGTACATGTAACTTGGTAACAATTAAAAAACAAGGCCAGATTGAGCCCAGCTGTCAGTATCTCTTAGCAAAAGCAGTGTCGGGTCCCAGGACCAAATATGTTGCCAAATCTCGCGATAAAAACAAGCAACCAGGTCAACAAAAACAAGCTCTAAAGAAGGGGCCCTACCCAGCAGCACCTCTGCCTCATTATAAAGAAAATATTACTTATATTATACAGATGTGGTAGTGACCTTTATGACCCTGGATGGATGAAATAATTTTATATATGACTCGTCTTGGCTGAAATGGAAGACAAAACAACCCAGAAGGAGCCCTTGATAATTGACTTCAGATTGTGTCTCCTCTTCAGAGGCCACTGGACTGGATCACCATGTTTTCACACCATTCCTCAGTAGACAAATTACCTTCTGTGGTCTAGTGGCAGATGGAGCTGCCATATGTTCTCATGGACGGGGATGGTTACAGGAAGGAGAAAATGTCCTTTATTGGGATATATTATCTCCATTCTTACAGCTTATTTAAACATTCTGGGCTAATATGCCAATATATAGCAATTATTTATTTTTTTAGCATCTCCAAGCTTTGGCTTGGATTATATCTGTCCTGTCAAATATATTTTCAAATGTATTGTTCTTTTTTGAAATATATATATTATTGTATTTTTGGGGAGTAGTTTTACTACCAATCAAAACAAACACTGGTGAGTAAAACAAGTGGACGTGTGGTCAGCTGTGGGAGGGAGTTTTGTAGATATGTACACATGCTTGTGCATGTAAACACAAGAGACAGTTTACCCCGATTGAGTCTTTGAATTGTTTTACCTGTACGAACAGGTTCTGCAAGAAGTTGACCACTTTTTTTCTGCAATTACTCAAATTTTCCACAGCAAACCAAACAAACAAACAAACTATGTTTAGCATTTACCACACAGAGGTTAAGGACTGCACTGTTTCTGTTACCACCGCCTTTATCTCACACAGTTAATCTGTGTGTAGAACTGAAATCATCCATTACGATTTTAAGGGCAAAACAAGTACATAAAAAAAGACGCCTTAATCATTGTGGGAACATGAGTGAAGTTTCCACATAAACAACACAGGCACAGCAACATCCTGCTGCAGTCAGGATGTTGCTGTGCCTATTTACAGAAAACTAAACACAACACTGTGTATTTTGTTTCATTTTAATACCAATTATACAAGTATCGGTGAAAAGCATATATTTTGAATATATATATGTTGTATAATGTGTAAATAGTTTGGACTCAGCTACCCTACACCTTTCATAAATCTCCCCATTTGAATACATTTCTGATTTAGGTGGAGCATACAACCCTCCTGCAGTCTTATAGGCCTATAATTTCACTCTGGTTTGTTACATCATAAAATGTCTGACATGGGTCATCTATGTACGCAGTGAATCTTTAAAACGTTGTATAAATATATAGTCATCTTATTAGGAGTTCAGGGAGTTTAACAACCATGATTATTCCCAGGACTTTAAGGACACTTCCTTATAAAGTTATCCTATTACAAAGATTTAGGTGGTAGATATAATTTTCTTACAGACTAATAGACCTATAATTTAGTTTGGTTTGTCAAAATATCAAATTCCTTGGGAGCTCACTGACTGGCTGGATTCATGTTTTTAATGCTGAATTAATAGTAGGTTTCTTTTTGGGAAAACCACACATTACCTCATGCAAACCAACCACTAGGTGGAACAGAGAGAAGTTGTTTTTTTATTTCTTTCCCCTACCATGTGCCGTTTTTCTGTTTTTACTTTAGAGGGTTTCAGTTCTTTTTTTAATGGGATGCATCAGCAGATGGCGCCATATGCTCATCCAGAAATTCAGTGAAAACTCGTATGGAAGTTTAAGACCAGAGGTACTGGTTCAAAGCTTGAGGATCTACTACACAAATGACTGGACAAAAATGATCTACATACAATGAACACTCACACATATATACTCATATAAGCTGAAAAACATAAATAAATAAAACATAAATAAATAAATATACATATTCAGTTTATATGAGTAAACAATATATATACACACATACATACCTGTGTATACATGTATATAAATATATATATGTATATATATATATATATAAACTATAAACATATATAAACTGTATATAAACACGTACCAAAAGGCACTGGCACTTTATATTCACCAAAGGTCCAAAGGTTTGTTTAATCAGTGTTGGAGGACGATTTGTTAAAGAGTGCCATCACGAGTGTTTGTAAAATGACTTTCATATAATATCCTCCTCACCTTTAATACACTGTGCACATTAACTCATATTGAAAAGTCGAGTTAATGAAAGACTGGCAGGAGACGCTGACTAACATGTTTTCCACTCTTGGTCAGGTCAAACAGAGAGACAAAGAAAACAAGATTTATAGCTTCTTCTTATTATAATCATTTCTTTATGTGGCTAGACACAATAAACCTGTGAGTGGAGAGAATATTATTTACAGAACATTTATTCACTTCAGTCTTACTCAAAATTTGGCAGTCACAGGAAATTATCGAAACCAAACTGGAACGTGACGTTCCCATTTCCACAGGTGTCATGGGAAAAAAAAACAATGTTCCTTCAGCACATAAATAATTACTACATTAGGACTTTTGGAATGTGTTGAATAAAAGATAGTTTATCTTTTACACCAATTAATTAAAATAAAGTTTATAAAGTGAAAACCTCCCAGAAAAAAAAAGAAACGACTTCCCTGTTACTTCAATATTAGGTATTGACATGCAACAAATACTTGATACAAATGAAATGTTTTATTAGTGCCTTAGTGAGTTTATAGTGATACAAACAATCTCTCATTCAACAGGTTGATTCTAGACGAATATTATTCTTCTTATTATAGTTGTTATTTTTACAATTATGTTTTCTTTAAAAGGGTGCCTTTCGTATGTGGGAATGATCTCAGCAAGAGTTTAAAAAGTTTAGATTAATTAGCACCAAAAGGAACAAACGTACTGAAGGTCTACTAGCAGATGCCAGAGTTGAAGTATTTACACCGTCTGTATCTCAATGTTTCCAGATTTTGGTCAATAGATTTCAGCCTTTTTCAACTAGTCCACAACCCATTCAAGTCTATTCAGAATATATTTGAATATATCCTGGGTCTAAGACCTGGTTTGAACACTGGTTTTTCTTTGTTGTTTGTTTTTTTTGCCACAGGCAGCCAATGATATGACGCACTTTAACCTTCTGGCCATTATTGTGTCAATTATCATGAGTGTTTGTAGTAAACAATGACCCGGGTCTCACGGATCCAAAATGCTGAGTCAACATTTATTTTGCCCTTCCCCTTGCTGCACAAATCCAATATTAGTTTTTAACACCGTGACCCTTGACAGAAAACCACTCCTGAGTGGAGTGTTTTTTTTCTTCTGCTTATGTTAACCATTGCACTTGAAAGACGTCAGTACTTTGTGTGAGGTTGACATGATTCAGCCTTTACAAGAAGTCTCCCAAAAAACAAGAAAAAAACAAACAAAACAAACAAAAACATGAAAAAAAACAAGTTTTACCTTTTCTGAGCTTTTCTGAGCTTCAAATACATCTTTCTTTTTGGCACAAATAATGAAACAGGTCAGGTGTTGGTCACAAGCACTTTGGTCAGACTAAGGTAAATAATTGCACAACGTTTTGATAGGAAATAAAGGATAAACATGAGCAAGAAAATAGAAGAAATAAAATCTCGGTAGTGGCATTTTTAAGAGCCGTGTCTGTGTGTCAGTGGTGATAAAACGAAGAAGGAGGAGAAGAAAAGAGACACGGGGGAGAGTGATTATCTGAGTGAATTATTCATCACAACAACCCGCCACAACCAAAATCTCTCAGCTTATCCTGAACCGTCAGAGGAAAAAAAAGTAGAGTTTACAATTAAAATGTTGTTTTTTTCTACAAAACATTAAGAATTTAAATAGCTTGATTAGACAATTTGTATGATGTTCTTTCAGACAAGCAATTGTGAAATGCGTTGCGTTAACCACTGACAGAAAGAAACAGCTTTAACCTGGTGAGTACAGAAACACAGCTGATCTGCAGTCGTATGTACTGGACACTACATGGACTCAACACGGGAGCCTGGCTTTTTAGTGGTTGTGTAAAAATCACAAGCAAAGAGAAAGAGAAACAGAGAGAGAGAGAGAGAGAGATTGGCCTGGAAGGGTCCAGTTCCACAAAGACAGCAGCGTTAAGGATGGCTGACGTTCTTCATCTGTACAATCTCGTTATTGTGTGGGTGGCTGGAAAAAAAATAGTGGCTCACATTTTGTTGAAACACTCCTTGGCATTTGACCACACCTGGATTCCCTGGAAAAAACAACAACAAAACAGAAAAGATTTAAAAGAGGACAACCCCTGCCAAAAAAAAATACTATAAATAAATAAAATGAAAACAACCCTGAACTCCTTACCTTCTTACACATAGTGATCTGCATGATGGCATAATTGATTAGTGCGTCTCGTAAATCTCTGTCCTTTTGCTCCTTGAACCGTTCAATGTCTTCCCAGGCTGTTTGCAAAAATTCCCTGGAAAGAGGATCGTAATTAACAAAAAAGGCAGAAATTGGAATGCATGTTAGAAGTTTGTGTAATTTGAAAGGTCAGGAGAGTACAGGAAAGTACTGATGGGTCCGGTACTCACTGGCACTCTTTGTTTTTCTCCTTCAGTGCCTCCTCTCCCTCCTGTATACTCTGCTCTAGTGCTGCCAACCTGCTCTCCCTCTGCTCCTGGCTCTCCTGGCCAAATATTTTACTGGTCATCCCCTTCAGGGAAAAGATTCGTACCGTCTGCAGGCACAAACACACACACACACAAAAACAGAGACTAATTAAAATTAAACAATCAGTACAAAACTAAATCTACACAAAGATTATGTCATAAGGTCCAGGTCATTAGACATGATCTCAGTGTCTTACCCCGGTGGTCAGCTCTTCCTTCTGTTGTTTTTTGCTGACGAGGTCCTGAGCTGCTGTCTCCAGCTCGTACTGGATCAACTCATGTTTCCTACACACTGACCTTGAAATCGCAGACAAATGATAAGAGAGACGTTTCTCTGCATTAACAAGTGTTCACCGACTTCTGTTCCATCGAAAAATACCACACAAGACTTGCGACAAACTTGCAGCTGACACCTGGCCTCGTCTTTTGTCAGTTTCTTTGGAAGGGCTTAAATACCGAGCGTTCATTTTCACACTGAGAATAAAAGCCTCTGAAATAAATAGGGATCAAGTATG